AAACCCTGACCTCTTAGCACTACCCTGATTCCTTTAAGTAGAACAATCCCAGGGAAACCAGCTGCCGTTTGGGCCTCATAACTCAACCGTTCCCCCTGGAGCAATTCTTTCCTGAGACCTTGACCTTGGAAGGTAGCTCCCTCAGCTAGAGAGGAGCTCAAAGGAAGGGAACTCCCATTTGTGAGTGTTGACTGTGTAATAATCTCTTACATTTACTGAGCACTGATGTGTCTCAAATCACATCAGCACTAAGAGGTGATAAGTACTTAGGTGGTGCAGAGAACTTAAGTAACATGCCTGAGATTGTGCAGCCATGCATAGCAGAACTGGGGTTTGCTTTGACCTAGGCAGTCTGGTTCTGGAGCCTGTGCTTGCAGCCTCTCTAAGGAGATAATCCATGGATGTGTTTAATATAGCATTCAATGGACACATAGGCAGTACTCAGTAAACATCAGTGCTTCTTATATCTTGCAGCTACTGACATGAAATTTAATGCATGCAATAAGTTTGTGTTGCATATGTAGAAACTGAGGCTCAGGAATTTGGGCCACTTGCCTTGGGTCCTACAGCCTTAAGTGAGAACAGCCTTCTCCCCCAGGCCTCTCCTCCCAGAAGCTGCTGGCTCTCCACTCAGGCCCTCAGCATCAGAAGGTGAGCCTGCTGGTGTCAGCCACAGGTATCTTTCCTTCCCTGGAGGCCACTGAATTCCCACTGGAGTTGTTAAAGCTGGGCCATACCTTGCAGCCTCTGTAAGGGATGATCCATTTCTCCCCGTCACTGAACCACAGGATGGATCAGCTCCATTTTTCATCCCTCACATCTGTGGCCTCATCAGGGCTGTGCCATGTCATCTCTCTCCTTTAAGATGTGTGAGACCATTTGTCAAAACTCTGAGCCCTAAAGTCTCCCCTGCTCCCTCACTGACATGGGAGAGGAGCCTTTGTCTTCTGGCCTGGCAGAGAGGAGGAGCATGTTTAAAGGAGCTCAGAAGTCCCAGTCTCACCCTGATGCTCACTGCTGGGCAGTGGTGGCAGCCTGAAGGGGCAGGTGAGGGTGTGGCCCCTGGAGCCAGGTAGCTGGGATTCAGATCCTAACTACACCTCTCACTAGATGTGGGGCTTGGTCAAGTCACTCACCCCCTCTATACCTCAGTGTCCTCAGCAATGAAGTGGGGACACCCCTCAGGGAATTATGAGTAGCGCTCCAGTTCTGTATTGATATGTAACATATTGTCCCCAAATCTAGTGGGTAAATGCTGAAATTTACTATTACTGCTTATGGTTTGGGTGGTTGACAGGGCTCAGCAGGGTATGTAAACTTAAGTCTAAACCTAGTAGATGTCAGCTGGGACTGGAGCCATGGGGCCATGCCTGGGTGGGCATCGAGATGGCCCCACACAATGCAGGCAGCTAGTGCTGACTGGCAGGGGCTATCAGGGGCTGGCAGAGTGGTTTCTCACAGTGTCGAGGCTGAGTCCTTAGGGAGAAGGTCCCAAGAGCAAGCATTCCAAGACACCCAGGGACAAACTGCAGGAGTTTTAAGATCTTGCCTCAGAAGCCACACAAAGTCACTCTGCATTCTGTAAGTGATGAGGTCAGATTCCCGGGATGGCTCATTGGGAGGCGTCTTTGGAGACTGGTTACCACAGGGTTGAAATGATGCACACAGAGCACATCGTACAGAGTCTGTGCTCAAGGAATGTCAGCCTCCCACCAGCTCCTCCTTTCCTCACCATGTTCCAGCTCTCTCTGGATCTACCTGTGACAATGCCAAGGCAAGACCCTGGCAGGTGATCAGGCAGAGCCTGGTGGAGCCTAGGCAGTTGCCAGGCTTAAGGGCTGGGGGTGGGCTGGGATAAAATTAAGGCTAATTACTCCAGAGGAATTCTGGGAAGATGGCCCACTGGTAGCAACCCTCAGCAGAGGCTTCTGACCACGGGAACTGAACCAAGAAAGAAGTTCGGCAGGCTGTAACTCCAAGGAAGAGCATTCGAGAAAACAAATTAGAGGTACAAAGCCTATCAACTGGAGGATAGGAGACCCCTCCCCCAAGCAGGAGGCCCGCGAGTGAGCAGGGAACAAAAGACCTCTCATTTTACCTTGCTGGAGAGACCCAG